CCAGGGCCTCAGGCATGCAAAGCAAGTACTCTACCACTAAGCCACCTTCCTAGCCCGTTCTAGCACCCAGGGTACGTGGTTTAGATCAAGATTTGCTCTGTGAACTTAACCCTACTAAGGGCTGAAAGAAACAGGGTAACTAGTTAATAATCTAAAGCCTTTATTAAAGCTTTGTCATCTGGACACAGCCAGGAAACAGCACTCTTGTTTGGATCTTCCCAGCTCTCCAACTAGGTACCCGTAGTCTCTGAGGTCTGGCCTCTCCAGGTAAAGATGACAAGTGCCACTGGTCGCTTGAACAAAATGTAGGACACAGGAAACTTATATTGAAAAATGTATTTTACGTAATTCATACAGGAGGAATTCTGAAGCATTTTATATATGCATTTGTGTCTTAGAAAACAGTAAGTAGAAGAAACAGGGAAGCATACAGGAGGAATTCTGAAGCATTTTATATATGGTCTTTGTCTTAGAAAACAGTAGGTAAAAGAAACAGGGAAGCACAGATTCCTAGGTAAGTATCCAGGGGTCCCTGATCCAGACAGGGATTCTTACTCCAACCTCATTCGTCTTGGTCTAAGATACAATATTCACCTTAGGTCCTTCATTAGAAATATACATCTTTGCCAGGAGCCCATGGCTCCTGTGTGTACTCCTAGCTACTCAGGAGGCTGAGATCTGAGAATTAAAGTTGGAAGTCAACCTGGGCAGGAAAGTCTGTGAGACTCTTATTTCCAATTAACCACCAAAAAGCCAGAAGTGGAGGTGTAGCTGAAGTGGTAGTGTGTGTGTGTGTGTGTGTGTGTCTGTGTCTGTGTGTGTATGCCTTTGAATTCTCAATTCTAAAAACCTATAGGCACAGCTAAATTATGTCCATACCTTAAAACTGCCACTTCTGGGCCTGTGCCTTAAGGAGGAGCCAATTTCCATCAGTTCAACTTTACACTGAATTCAGTAGAAGCTACTTTGAAATCTGAATTTAGAGCTTTTCCCCAAGCCAGTGCTATGTAATACCATCCTCTCTTGAAAGAGAAGACAGCCACAGTAAGTGGCAGCTTTCTGTCAGCCCTGCAAGTCATGAAGGTAAGCAATGTTCTACAGTGTGTTGTTACAAACTTTGATGTTTTGTAGATAGATGTATATGTTAAAAGCATTATGGACTTAAGGTTTCTCTTTCCTTTTTCCTCCTTTCTTCCTTCTTTTCTTTCTTCTTTTCTATTTCTTGTGTGCGTGTGTGTGTGTTTGTGTTTGTGTGTGTGTGTGTGTGTGTGTTCATGCTAGGAATTAAACCTAGTGCATGCTAAGCTCTACCATTGAGCTGCACCCCTAAGCCTGACTTACTTTCAAGTTACAATGGGCTTGTCCAAAAGTAATTACATCCTAAGTCTGGAAGCACCTGTGTCATGTGACCTGATTCTCTTTCTCCTGCCATATCACTGGATTCTTACATATACTCTTACTAAAATCCCTGCCACCAAGACTAAAACAACCCCCAAGAGCACAAGCCCTCGACGGAACACCAACTGTTTTCCAGACAATGTATTGCTGTCTGCTGGATGCTCAGGCAAAGGTTGCTGTTGGTGCATCCGTTGGTTCAATTGAGCCTTGTCCCTTTTTTCAATATCTCTCATTACAATTTCTTCATGGCTTTCAGTACCCTCTGTAGAGAATAAAGGATTTTAGTTAGCGTGTTGAAAGGAAAATTTTGTTTCTAACTGTATGAAAGAGGATAGAGATTGTGTGTGCTATTTGTTAGGAGAAAGATATTTTAGGAAGCAGTTGCTACAGTGGTTAAATGAATCAAATTGGGAGATAAGAACTTATAGGCACAACCTCCTATACTTGTTGTGGGGGAGGTAATTGTTTTACCTTTAACTGTTAACATTTCTTTTTTTTTTGGTCCAGTTGTGGGGCCTGAACTCTGGGCCTAGGCGCTGTCCCTCATCTCTTCAGCTCAAGGCTAGCGTTCTACCACTTGAGCCACAGCGCCACTTCCAGCTTTTTGCTTATGTGGTGCTGAGGAATCGAACCCAGGGCCTCAAGCATGCAAGGCAAGCGCTCTACCACTGAGCCACCTTCCCAGCCCAATTGTTAACATTTCTTAAGCTGAGTGCTGGTAGCTCATGCCTGTAATCCCAGCTACTCAGGAGGCTGAGATCTGAGGATTGTGGTTTGAAGCCAGCCTGGGCAGGAAAGTCAGTGAGACTCTTATTTCTAATAAACTGCTCAAAAAAGCCAGAAGTCAAGCCAGGCACTCGTGGCTCACACCTGTAATCTTCAGGAGGCTGAGATCTAAGGTCAGCCCAGGTAGAAAAGTCCCTGTGAGACTCTTATCTCCAATTAACCACCAGAAAACTGGAAGTGGCGCTGTGGTTCCAGTGGTAGATCGCTTGCCTTGGGCTGAAGAGCTTAGGGACAGTGCCCAAGCCCAAAGTTCAAGCCCCACAACTGAAAAAAAAAAAAAAGCCAGAAGTGGCACTGTGGTTCAAGTAGTAGAGTGTTAGCCTTGAGCATATAGAGGCTCAGAGACAGAGCCAGGGCTCTGAGTTCAAGCTCCAGAACAGGAAAAAATTTTTTTTCTTCAAATTATTTTTTGTTTATTTATGTGTTTTGGGTGCAGCTCTCCTGAGAAAACACGAAAGAACCAGCCAAAATCACTAAATTAAGCTGAATCCCATTATTGAAGCGAATCTAAAGTGAGCTCTGCTCATTACAATTTCATTCTAATTGTAAATTCTCCACCCTAGAGGCTGGTCTAGTTAACATTTTTAATATGCAAGGCACACTCTCCAACTGAGCATGCTTAGGAGTGTTCCTAAGCATATGATGAGGTATATTTCCCCCACAAAACCATCTTGTTTGGGGATTATTCCCAGTACACTCCTGGGAATGACCAATTCACTCTTGTTTCCCTGATATGTTTGTGGGCTTTGTGCTCACGAACAAAACCCATTACATTTGGTTACATTACATTGTATTCCTCTCTATTCACCGCTGTCAACCTGGAGCTCTAAGGAGCTCCTTTGTTTAAGAGTTTCAAGGGGCCAACACCCGTATAATAAACATTCCATTTGGTATGTCGGGCAAGTGGCCAAACCTGATCCTAAGCCAGGAACTTCAGACAGCATGAATAAAAACTAAGGAAAAGCAGAATTGACCACTGCCAGAAATTTAGCCATCTAAGAAGTCCAAAGAGCTTATTACAGTGCGACCAAAATGTGGCTATAGGACACTAGAATATGCCACCCAAATATACTCTTCTTTGGTATATTTCAAAGTGGTTATTTTGAGAAACTGCAGATAGTAGCTTTGAAAAGCTATCTGTAGCCGGGCGCTGGTGGCTCACGCCTGTAATCCTACCTACTCAGGAGGCTGAGATCTGAGGATCGCGGTTCAAAGCCAGCCCGGGCAGGAAAGACCGTGAGACTCCTATCTCCAATAAACCACCAGAAAACCAGAAGTGGCACTGTAGCTCAAGTGGTAGAGCGCTCGCCTTGAGCTGAAGAGCTGAGAGACAGCGCCCAGGCCCAGAGTTCAAGCCCCACGACCGACAAAAAAAAAAAAAAAAGCTATCTGTAAGGCATTCGCAACTATGAAGAAAATCGCCATCAGTAAAAGCATCTGTCTTGAGAAAATGGCTGTTCCAGACAACTTTTATTACTATAGAGACTTTATCTGAATAACAAGACCACAGGCCACCTTTATTCACCATAGATTTCTTTCCCTCATACTTCCTCCATAACTTGGGTAGCCACCATCTCTCAGAAATTTCACATCCTGTTTCTTTTCTGTAGTTCAGAGTGCTATATATGTAAGCTTCAGTCATCAGACCCTTCTTCAGACCTCCTGTTTCCTAGGACTCTTCTGCTTATGGTTGTAATTAAATATTGTTTTCTCCTGCTAATCTGTCATGTCAATTTAATTCACAGCCCAGCCACAGAAAGTAAGAGGTCCTTTGGAACAACAAACTAATGTGACTAACTGCTCAAGGAACTGGGTAGGAGAGGGAGTACTAAATTGGCAGGAACCGCCCCCCCCACACCCCATAACCAAATTTCCTCAGAAGCAATGGTCCAAACAAGCTTCTTGAAGAAGCAAGTGATGTCTAAGGACCACCAGGGACCCATTAACACAAACATGCAAATGTCACTTTCTGCCATGTTCCACACACAGCTGTGCCATGTTATCACACGTTCCTTTGGCAGAAGCCATGTCTGTTTGAGGCAATGGATGTGCTAGTCTCCCCATCTGATCATTACATATTCGTATACCTGTATTAACATATCATATTGTACTGCAGATATGCACAAGTACTCTGTGTCAAGTATAAATTTGAAGCCAGGAGCCAGTAATTCACACTTGTAATTCTAGCTACTCAATCTTGATTCAGATACAGCCTGGGCAGATAAATTAGAGACTCTTCTATCCAAACTAACCAGCAAAAGGATAGAAGTGAGGGTGTGGCTTAAATTAGTAGAGCACTAGCCTTGAACAAAAGAGCTCAGGGAGAGTACCCAGGCCCAATACACACACAAATGCATATATATGTATTTTTAAATATATTAAAACCCCTTCTATAAAATATAAATTATATATAAAATTTATAAATTTATATAATATGTATCATATAAAAATATAAATTTCTATAAATGTATATAAGATAATATATTATTATATAGGTTATATAAATCTATAAATTATAATATATGTCTATAAATGTATATATAGGATATGAATTTTCTAGATTTCTATAAATTATGTTATAAATTATATTAAGTTAATATCTTTATGATTTTTTATTTTTAAATTTAATAACACGTATGTTAATTTAATAATTTTAGTTTTCTGTTGTTGGTGGTGGTATTCATGGGGCTTGAACTCAGGGCCTGGGCACTGTCCCTGATCTCTTTTGCTTAAGGCTAGTGCTCTACCACTTTAGCATCACTTCCAGTTTCTTTTTCTGGTGGTTAATCAGAGTCTCACAGATCTTCCTGCTGGGGTTGGCTATTAACTGCAATTCTCAGATCTCAGCCTCTTGAGTAGCTAGGATTATAGGTGTCAACCACTAACGCTCAGCTTAGAAATTGTTTTATAAGTTCTTTTATATTTTAAAATTTAAGCTGAGCGACAGTGGCTTGGATCTGTAATCCTAGCTACTCAGGAGGCTGAGATCTGAGGATCACGGTTCAAAGCCATCCTGGGCAAAAACTCAGTGAGATGCTAATCTCCAATAAACTACTCAAAAATCAGTATGTTTATGGAATTGAAGCAAAGGAACTTTAAGTCAAATTACTTCAAAATAAGTGTGACTTGACTTTCTTTTTTGTTTCTAAACTTCAGTGCCTTCATCAATGGGCGCTCACTGCAGCCAATCTACTTGTGTCCCACACATGACCCCTCCGTCCTTCCTTTCTGGCCTTTGCCAGAGCTGAGATTATTATAACCTACCTGAATGAACTGGATCATGAGAGACAGCAGAATTCCCATTCAGAGCCACATTTACCTTCAAATTGGCATGTACCTGAGCCTAAAAAGTAAAAACACAAAGCAAGGGCACAAGGCATTAGACCATGTTGCTGAGACATTTCACTTGACTGTAATGGAAACTTCTCTAAATCAGTAGGATCCTCTGAAAAAGACTGAAATGGCCCTTTTCTACCTCCTATTTCCAGACCTCGTGTTGATCTTGAAAAGGTAATGAGAAGGGAGTGAACAAGTATCTTAGAGAAATATTTGGAGATCATCAAAGCCAATGTTAGGATAAACTTGGGAGACTTTCTCTCCCAGTACAATTCTCATCCTGAAATTGGCTTTTTAGGCAGAAAGGCAAGAAGAGGCTAGCATAGGGTGGGAAGAACCAGCTATATTTTCTATTCACTGAATAAACAAAGGAAAAATGATTCAGGACAGGATCGCATCTGAAAATCCAGTTAAAACCAAACCAAACCAAAAAGCATAATGATAACATAAGAGGAATGAACCCGCCAATATGGAACAACGTCTCACGTTGGATCCTGTTTATTTTCTAGGTGAGGAACAGCAAACACAATTACCTGTTGGCAAGCCTGTTTCCAATTGAGGTGAGAAATGAAGGCTAGAAAACACATAGCCTGCAAAACAGTGCAGATGATGATCCCCAACCACAGACCTGGACAAAGAAACGGGAGATGGGTTAATTCTGGAAATCGGCTGCCCTGCAGAGGACATGGCTCCACTTCACTTCTGTGGGCTGGGCTGAGAATCTGCGTTTCAGGCTGAGGTGGAACCAACCCACAGTGGGCCAGACACCTCCAATCTGCTCTCTTCCAGAATGTTCTAGAAGGCCCAGTATTCCCTGCAGCCACCTCCTGTGAGAACAAAGGTCTGGGAGGCTATTTTTGGCGTTGGTGATTTTAATACTTGGGTACTGAGAAAAATGCCAGCTACAAGGTAAAATTTCACAGGATGAACTACTTCTGCCCTATATGACTCAAAAGAAATGATGTTTGTTAGTTTGTTTGGCTGTTTTCAAGTGCAATAATAGCGTGTGTGTACATACGCATGTGCACATGTATGTGTGTTTGTTGGTACTGGGGTTTGAACTCAGGGTTTCATACCTTCTCTGGTACTTAGCTTTCTTACTCATGGTTGGTACTCTACTGTTTGAGACACATCTCCACTCCAGCATATTTCTGGTTATTTGGAGAAATGAAATCTCTCAGACTTTTCTGCCCCACTAGATTTGAAGCTCAATCCTCCAAGATCACAGCCTCCTGAGTAGCTAGGATTATACGTGTAAACTGAGCTGACTGTGCTAAACTGCCCTTTTTTTTTTTTTGGCATTACTTAAGTTCAATCTCAGGGCCTCATACTTGCACAGTTTGCTTACCTCTCTCACTTGAGCCATACTGCCAGACCAGCATTTTGCTGGCTAATTGAAGATGGAGTCTCGAGACTTTTCTGCTTGGGCTGGACTCAAACTGGTCTCAGCCACCTGAGTAGCTAGGATTACAGATGTGAGCCAGATAGGAACCCAGCAAGGACTAACTTTCTTTAAGCACAGACTGCTGGAAGCTTCTGGGATAGGGTTGAGGATCTAGATAGTTTTGGAGGGGGAATGGATGATGGGAAAAGCCTGTAAATCTCAATGCACCCTGTAGACTCTACCCAATACAAGCCTACACAAGGCCCTGAGGGAGATCGGATGAAGAGAGGTGTTGTCCACAGTAAACTAATGGGAGAATCCAAGCTCAGCAGAGGTGTGAGAGAGACTGTATATACAAATAGACAATGGCCAGATCATATGTAAAAATAGAACTCTGGGGGGGCACCAGTGGCTCACACCTGTAATCCTAACTACTTAATAGGTTAAGATCTGAGGATTGTGGTTTGAAGCCAGCCAGTGGAAGGAAAAGTCTCTGAGGCTTTTTTTTTTTTTTTTGCCAGTCGTGTTGCCTGAACTCTAGGCCCGGGCACTGTCCCTCAGCTCTTTAGCTCAAGGCTAGAGCTCTACCATTTGAGCCACAGCGCCACTTCCAGCTTTTTCTGCTTATGTGGTGCTGAGGAATCGAACCCAGGGCTTTATCCATGCAAGACAAGCATTCTACCATTGAGCTACCTTCCCAACCCAAGTCCGTGAGACTCTTATCTCCAATCTCCAATAAACTAATCAGAAAAGGTAGAAAGTGGTACTGTGTCTTAAGTTGTAGAGTGCTAGCTTTGAGCACAAAGAGGCTCAGAGACAGAACCCAGGCTGAGAGTTCAAGCCCCAGGACCTGCAACAAACAAACCAACCTCTGACCTATAACCACTGCAACAAATAGCCCAAGGTTCCAGTCTGCTAGAAATCAGATTTGCACAAAGCTGGACTGCCATCTCTAGCAACAACCTATGAAGCTAAACAGTAACTTCTCAGTTACAATTAGCTCAGATTTGGTTAATAACTGACAGTCTCCCTAATTTTAGTCACCACTGCAATTTATGACCAATCAAAGTATGTACCTTTAACCCATCTTATGGAAGCTCTTTGTTATTCAGCCACCTCTAGTTGGCACATACCTAAGCTGTCTGTTCTGGTCATATAGCTCTCCTACTCTTTGGGCTGCCTTCTGGTCTCTGCCTAAACACAGGTCAATGGCGTCCCAATTCCCTTGTGTAGCAGCCTAGAAATGCACAGTCTTTGCTTTCCTCTTTTGCTTTGATTTATTTCAGCTGCTGTCCAAATCCATGTAAGGGTTTACTATGTAATAGGGTGACTGTTGTCAATAATGGAGTGTGTTTCAAATTAGGAACGAATTTCAAATTCCTAACCATAAAAATAATGCAAATAAGAGGAAGGATATGTTAACTATCTAAATCTAATTACTCAACATTGTACACATATATCAAAAGATCACCTCAGCCAAGCATGGTAGTGTATACTGTAATTCTAACTCATGAAAAGTGAGGCAGGATGCTTGAGAGGTTGAGGCCAGCCTGAGCTACCTAGTGAAAACTTATCTCAAAAATCATGTTTTGTCCCTTGGGCTGGGAAGGTGGCTCAGTGGTAGAGCGCTTGCCTTGCATGCATGAGGCCCTGGGTTCGATTCCTCAGTACCACATAAGCAAAAAGAAAAAAGCCGGAAGTGGAACTGTGGATCACGTGATAGAGCATTAGCCTTGAGCTGAAGAGCTAAGGGACAGCGCCCAGGCCCAGAGTTCAGGCCCCACGACCAGACCCCCCCAAAAAAATCATGTTTTGTCCCATAAATGTGCAAAATGCTGATTTGCCAGTTAAAAATAATATTAACAAAAAAGATATGAAAGACACTGTAAGCCAGAAGTGGAGTTGTGTCTCAAGTGGTAGAATGTTAGGCTTGAGCAAAAAAGCTTAGAGACAGGGCTGGGAATATGGATTCATGGTAGAGTGCATGCTTTATATGCATGAAGCCCTGGGTTCGATTCCTCAGTACCACATACACAGAAAAAGTCAAAAGGGGCACTGTGGCTCAAGTAGTAGAGTGCTAGCCTTGAGCAAAAAGAAGCTCAGGGACAGTGCACATGTTCAGAGTCCAAGCCCCAGGACTGGCAAAAAAAGAAAAAAAAAGGTTGTAAAGTATGCCCTTGGTATTTTATATTCATTGAATATTATAATGATAATATTTTGGATAAATTGTGTAAAATAAAATATATTACTCCCCAAAATCCTCTAATATTTCCATTGTCTCTGTCATTGGCAAATCTAAAACGTGAATAATACCAGAAGTGCAACCTAATAATTTTCTGCATCATTTTCCAAAGATCTCCAGTCCATTCTTTGAACACTGTATTTTTTATTCAAATATTATTGAACTGGAGAAAAAGCTGTAAGCCAATGGAACTCATTGGACTGGATGTTCTCCGTAGAGATCAGATGACTTCTCAACACCTCTGTAAGTCATTACTTCACCCCAAAGATAATGTTTAGCTTTTAATATAATCATTTACTCACTGCCAATGTATTCTCCATTATTATTTTAGAAATCAAAGCTGAGCAGTCATTGTTTCCCACCCCCTTTTTTTTGTGTGCAGGTCTTAGAGCTTGAACTCAGGTCCTTGGGGCTGTCACGAAGCTTCTTTGGCTCAAGTCCAGCACTTTTTTGGTAATTTTGTAGAGATAAGAATCTTACAGGGGGTTGGGAATGTGGCTTAGTGGTAGAGTGCTTGCCTAGCATGTATGAAGCCCTGGGTTTGATTCCTCAGTACCACATAAACAGAAAAGGCTGGAAGTGGCTCTGTGGCTTAGTGATAAGAAGCACAGGGACAGTGCCCAGACCGTAAGAATCTCACAGACTTTCCTGTCTGGGCTGGCTTTGAACCTTGACCCTCAAGTCTCAGCCTCCTGAGTAGCTAAAGGCATGAGCCACTGGTACCCAATTATTTCCCTATTTTAAAAATTCAGCATACACTATATGGAAAACGAACTATGCAACTTATGTGAAGGGACAGGAAGGGGAAACTGGAGGAAAATGAAAGAAGGGGTGACATTGTTCCATAAGAATTGTACTTGTTGGGCTGGGAAGGTAGTTCAGTGGTAGAGTGCTTGTCTTGTATGTATGAGGCCCTGGGTTCGATTCTTCAGCACTACATAAGCAGAAAAAGCTGGAAGTGGTGCTGTGGCTCAAGTGGTAGAGCTCTAGCCTTGAGGTGAAAAGCTGAGGGACAGTGCCCACGCCCAGAGTTCAGGCCCATGACCGACAAAAAAAAAGAATTGTACTTGTTACCTGACTTACAAAATGGTAACCCATCTGTACAACACCTTAATAATAATAAAATTATATTTAAAAATAAACGTTACGGAAAAAAAAGGAATAAGAATAACTCTGGTATTTTCAGATCCTGGAAATTCAGTTCATCTCTGCAAATTTAAGGTGAAAACTTGCCCTGCCCCATCTTCATCCCACCCTGGTCCTGTGTGGGGTGAGATCCACAAGAAACTCAGATTAAGATTATTTGCAAGTGGGAGGCAGGGGCTGTAGAAGGGCCAGAATAAAGAGGACATCACTGGTCAGCCTGGCCCTCTCTGAATCCTGGCATGCTAAACTCACAAGTCACCACTCCTGGGCATTCTATGTCCAGCTACCATGTGGTTTCCCCACATCTTCCAGAATGGACAATGGCAGTTGACCTCATCCCTCTGAGAGTGTCACTGTCCCAGGGGCTGTCACTAAGGAAACAGGACAGGCTCTACAAAAGGGACATCACTGAATGCCTCAGCCGCCCTTGCTGTCATGTCCTTTGAAGAAGTGACAACTGGGTGACTGAGGACAGGAAAAAGAAGAGAAAAGGCATTTGGTTTCTTCAAGTGTGGGGAGGTGGAAGATCCCCCACTGGGGTCAGGGGTCAGGGGTCGTGGCTGTGTAGCCGTGGGGCCCTGGCCAGAGCACCTTCGTGCCTACTGCCATCTGTCTGTCTCTGTCTGTCTGCAGGATTCCAGAGTGAAGTTTCAATGTGCCTCTGCCAGTCATTCCCTGGGTTCTGCTGGCTCACAGTTGAGTCTTACCGAGCACTCCAAGATTGGTGGCAAACATCAGCGCAATCCCGATAGGGAGGCCAATCACGTAATACCCTATGGCATTAACGATGGCTCCAACCTTCTGGTTTCCAGTGCCCCTCAGAATGCCACCGCTCGTACACTGTAGGCAAAAGACAGGTAACATCCATTCATATGAGCCATTGCTGGGCTTCTAAAGAACCCCCTTCTGAGCCTGGACCAAACATTTTATCACTCCGTGACATCACAGGCTGGTGACATATACTCTGTAGAAGTCACCAGGACAATAATACTCAATAGGACTTCCCACTCAAGTCCTTCTTCTAAGGGGACCTGAAGTTTATTCTCTTCAGAAAAAATAGGTAGCAGGCCATCAAGGAGCTTATACTCACAGCAAGACTTTCAAAGAGGTGGGACACTGCATATATGGGGACCACCTGAGCCACCAGAGCCACGATGTCTCTGTCAGGAAAGTAAAGCACATGGTGATGAGTGGGAAACATGTATGGAAAAAGAGAAGAACATGAGTCCCAGGTGAAGCGACCCCTTTTCTGATGCAGTTCAGCAAGATTCTTGGTCCAGCTGGCTTGGCGCATACACACCAGCCAGCCATGGGCCTGAGGGGAAGAGGGGTACTTCTACAGTGCCTTAGTCAAAACAGGAAAGAGATTACGAGTTGTTTTCATTACTTTATAAAAACACAGTTCATATAGATTAATTAAATGATGTGATATGCTTCTGTCCTCTCAAACTAAAGTTCAGCTTGTATTACCATCTTTCTTCTAAGGTGGCTCCTCAGATCAAGTCTTAACATGCCTCTCAGTATCTGAATGAAACATTGCAGAGAAAGTTAAGGTGCTCTAATATAGAGGATTGGGGGTGTGGCTTGGTGGTAAAGTACTTGCCTAGCAAGTGTGAGGCCCTGGGTTCCATCTCCAGCATCACCAAAAATTAAAAACTGCTCACCACAGAACTAGGTAAGCTGGCAAAGCTATAAAGATCATGGGAACAGTGTGGAGAGTTAGCTGTTAGCCTTTATGATCTGAAATGTGTCCTATTCCCTAATGCTAGACACTTAGATTCTTTCTCTTTTTCTTTCTTTTCTTTTTTATGGTACTAGATTTTGAACTCAGGGCCTCATGGTGTTCACAACTCTCTTTTCCTATATAATGTATTACATACTCTTTTATATTCCGCCAAAACATATCATTTCCAATATACTGCTCAATTAAGTCTATTGCTATGTTGCTATTTTTATTTATTTGTTGCTGTTGGGGATTGAATCTAGGGCTTCATGCATCCTAAGCACACATTCTACCACCAAGCTATACAATAGCCCTATTTGGAGTTTTTTAACCAGTGGTCTGCAATTTATTTGTTTGGTTGTTTTGTACTGTACTTTCACTTGGCTTTTTCTTTCAAGGCTGGTGCTCTACCACTTGAGGTGTATCTCCACTTCTAGCTTTTCGGTGGACTTTTCTGCCCAGGCTAGCTTCTAGCCTCTGTCCTTAGATCTCAGCCTTCTGACTAGCCAGGATAACAGATATAAGCCACCAATGTCAGCCATTGGTAAAATTTCTATTTGATTTGACAAATAAAATCAGGCAGTTTGGCAGATACCAAGATGATTCTTCTCATCAGGACCAAAATACAAGTTGAATATTCCTGATGCAAATTATTTGGAGCCAAAACTGCTTCAGATTTCAGATTATTTCTGGATTTTTGAATAACTCCAAATACATTATGAGATATCTTGGAGATAGGACTCTGATCTAAGCACAAAATTAATTTATATGAGATACACAATTTATATACATACCAGTAAATCTGCATTTTTGACCGCTCTAGCACACAAAGCTATATAACATCATGTTAGCAATCAAAAAGTTTCAGATTTTAGAGTATTTCTGATTTTGGATTTAGAATATCCAATCTGTCTGAAAATGTACTCCACAGTACCAAAAATTATTTTTAAAAATCCATGGGCCAGGTGCTAGTGGCTAATTCCTGTAATACTACTCTGGAGGCTGAGATCTGAAGATTGTGGTTCAAAGCCAGCCCAGGCAGAAAAGTCCCTGTGAGACTCTTAACTCCACTAAACTACTCAAAAAAGCCTAAAGAGGTGCTGTGGCTCAAGTGGTAGAGTGCTAACCTTGAGCACAAAAGTCTCTGGGACAGCACCCAGGCCCTGAGTTCAAGACCCAGGACTGACAAAAAAAAAGTAAAATAAAATAAAATACATGAGTATTCTGACCATCAGAAGAATATGTTCACTACTAATACTCATTAAATTGGCATTCTAGATTATAAACTAGTTTCTATATCTGATCAATTAAGTTCTTCCCAAGGAATATCAGTGGAGTTTCTGATCTTGCAAATTACCCAAACACCTCTCCAGATGCAGCACCCCTACCCCTAGCCATGATAGCAAGACAGCAACCTATCCATCTCTTGATCACAGATTTTCCATTTCAAGAAAACCCCAACACTCACCGGTCAGTAGTGAAAATGTAGCCCACAAAGTCCTTACAGCTTAACATCAGGACACAAAAGGCTACAGCAAAAAGCACTGGAGGAGGAAAAAAGAACAGGAGAAAGGAAACTGTGAACAAGGAGGGCTGGACAACATGCACTGAGAGCCTCAGCTAAATAGGTCTATGTACCTGTGACCAGCAGAGCAACCACTGAGGACTTCTTTGCTTGCTCTATGTTTCCGGCACCCAGTGCATTTCCTACCCGGACACTGGCAGCTACGCTGATGCCAATAGGGATCTAAAATGAAAAGGAAAACCTGCAACAAACTGCCCAGTGCTGGCATGGCACAGATAAGCAATATCAGGCCTCACACCTCACTGGCAAAATGGTGCTTTGCAACATCGTTTGGCCTAGTTAGGAGGCTAATGTGGGACCTGGGGTTAATGACACTCCTCACTGTGGGAACCTTCTTTTTTTCTTTTTGTTGTTGTTTTTTTTTTGGGGGGGGGTCCAGGCCTGAACGCTGGGCCTGGGCGCTGTACCTCAGCTCTTCAGCTCAAGGCTAGCGCTCTACCACTTGAGCCACAGCACCACTTCCGGCTTTTTGCTTATGTGGTACTAGGGAATTGAACCCAGGGCCTCAGGCATGCAAGCCAAGTGCTCTACCACTGAGCCACCTTCCCAGGATAACATTTTTTAAAATCCAGGATGACATTTCATTTCCATCAATAATTTCTTTCTTTCTTTCTTTTTTTTTTTTTGCTTGGTCGTGGGGCTTGAAGTCTGGGCACTGTCCTTCAGCTCTTCAGCTCAAGGCGAGCATTCTACCGCTTGAGCCACAGCGCCACTTCTGGTTTTCTAGTGGTTTTATTGGAGATAAGAGTCTCATGGGGGGCTGGGAAGGTGGCTCAGTGGTAGAGCGCTTGCCTTGCATGCCTGAGACCCTGGGTTCGATTCCTCAGCATCACATAAGAAAAAAACCAGAAGTGGCGCTGTGGCTCAAGTAGTACAGTGCTAGCCTTGAGCTGAAGAGCTGAGGGACAGCGCCCAGGCCCAGAGTGCAGGCCCCACGACCGGACCAAAACAAAAAACAACCAAAAAAAAAGAGACTCATGGATTTTCCTGTCTGGGCTGGCTTTGATCCTCAGATCTCAGCCTCCTGAGTAGCTAGGATACAGGTGTGAGTCACCAGCGCTGGCTCCATCAATCATTTCATATATCACTGCTACATGTTACCAATGTCAGTGCTTACTTGTGGGGACCATCTCCCACGGCCCCAGGGCAGCTCTGGGACACTTACCATGTACACGATGACAGCCAGTTCATACACAATGGACTGGGCTCCCAGCTCTACCATGCCCAGAATCCCTGCAAAGACAGACAGTTGACACCTGGCTCTAGACAGAGCCCCCAGTGCCCAGGAGCTGTGCCTGCCTCTCAGCATACGTACCACTCAGGAAGCTGCCGATCTCATAGGCCCACCACTCAATACAGAGCATCAACATGCTGGGGATGGCCAGGTGCAGAAAGGAGGCCCAGTCCTGCAGGCACTCAATGGACCACCCTGCAGGGGCAACACACAGGTTTTCATCAGATCTGGCCTTCAGGCTGGATCTCAGCCCCAGGCAAAAAGCTATGGCCAAGCTGTAAGACAAAAGACAACCTTAAGCCAGACACTGATGACAGGTCATGCCTATAATCCTAGCTCTCTAGGAGACTGAGATCTGAAGATCTAGGTTCAACACCAGCCCAGGTAGAAGTCTGTGAGACTCTTATTGTCAATGAACCAGCAAAAAGCTAGACATAGAGATGTGGCTCAAGTGATAGAGTGTTAGCCTTGAGCAAAAAAGCTAAGGGAGTTCAAGCCCCAGTACTGTCACATATACACACAAAAAGCAGCATTTACCTCCCCAAGTAGCTTGATGTAGTTTTCTCCAGAGGATGTAGAGAAAGAGGAGGAGAGCCAGAGTAAACTGGGCGATTGTATTGGCCAGTGCAGAACCCCTGGGAAAGAACAGTAGCCAATTGAATGTGTACTAATGTTCTTTCAGTAAGGAGGGGCCATGTGTATCTTGCTTTGCCCTCTTCCTGAGGCCTTGAAGTTGTCTTTTTCCCAGGACAGCATCCTCCACCCCTGATAGCACTCAGTGTGAGGAGACCACATATGGGCCAGATTGGAAACACCACCCACAAGTCCTCCCTCTTCCCTGTCCCAAGAGGAGGCTGGATGGACTCACATCACCCCCAGATTCAGCTGATAAAGGAACAGATAGTTGGCCAGGGCATTGACAAGGTTGGCTGCAAATCCAGTCACGATCTGGGGCAGAACGATTCCCTGGAACAAGGAGACACTGAGGGTCCAGGCCAAACTCACCGTGCTACACAGTAGGACAGGTTGACAGGATACAGCGCCCCTTTGGCTCTTGCCTTCCCTGTCTCCCATCCCTTCCTCTTCTCTCTTTCATATGTGAAGCCAGGAGCTCCGCCACAGGAGGTGAGAAGGCAGCAGGACAGGCAAGGACGGGCAAGTTTAACAGGTGTATAGACGATATTTTCAACATGGGATGAAGATACTGTACTCCTTGTCATGAAAGTTGAAATTCAGAACACTGACCAAAGATCTTGTGAAACTAGAATTTCTTTCTGGAATATGGTAGAGACTATCATAGCTGACTGAGAAGCAGAGTAGCGGCAGGAGAAACATCCTGTCTGGTATCCCATATATGGTAGTACACACCTGTCATGCCAATATTTGGGAAATGGAGGCTAGAGGATTGAGGGTTTGAAGACAATCTTGAACAAAGTTGGTAGGACACTATTTTAAAAACAAAATACACAGCGAAGGGCTGGGCTGGGTGGGTGTGGCTATGGTGATACAGCACTTGCTTAGCAAGAGGTCCTGGGTTCAATACTCACAACTTGGGAGGAGGGGAAAGAAGCAAATCAAATTGACAATCTAATTTCCATATAGAAGATGAATGAAATTTATGTTCATTCAGTAACATGTAATAGACACCAAATTATTTTGGAAGGGGGCACTGTTTCCACTGCTGTCCCATGTTACATTCCCCCCCCACCATTTTTTTTGTTTTTTTTTGGGGGGGGGTCCAGTCATGGGGCCTGAACTCTGGGCTTGGGCGCTGTCCCTGCGCTCTTCAGCTCAAGGCTAGCACTCTACCACTTGAGCCACAGCGCCACTTCCAGCTTTTTTCTTTTTGCTTATATGGTGCTGAGGAATTGAACCCAGGGCCTCATGCATGCAAGGCAAGTGCTCTACCACTGAGCCACCTTCCCAGCCTCCCCACCCTTTTTTTTTTTTTTTTTTGTCGGTTTTGTCAGTCGTGGAACTTGAACTCTGGGCTTGGGTGCTGTCCTTGCACTCTTCAGCTCAAGGCGAGCTTTCTACCACTTGAGCCACAGCACTACTTCCGGTTTTCTAGTGGTTTATTGTAGATAAGAGTCTCAGGGACTTTCCTGCCCAGGCTGGCTTTGAACCATGATCTTCGGATCTCAGCCTCCAGAGTTGCTAGGATTACAGGCGAGAGCCACCAGTGCCCGGCACACCCCTTTGGCAGCTTCTTTCTTACTGAGAAATTTTGTTCTCAAAAATCACAGACCATATGAACTTTTGCTATTCCAAATTGTATCAGTAAACAAACAAACAAAAAGCTCTACTCTTGACCAGATGATTAAAGTCGCTGTAACACCAAAAAGGAGTCTAGGGCTAGGGTGTGGGTCACTGATACAGCACTCAGCATGCATAGACTGAGGTTCCCTTCCCAGCACTTCAAAAATGAAAACAAAAAGCTACTCAAGAGGCTGAGATATGAGGATTGTTTCAAAGCCAACTGAGCCTTTCCACCATCAACCCCCCAAAAAAGTCTGTGAGATTCTTATCTCCAGTTAACTGTCAAAGAGTTGGAAGTGGAGTTGTGGCTCAAGTGGTAGAGCCCTAGCCTTGAGCAAAAAAAAAAAAAAAAAAAAAGCCAAGAAAAAATGCAAGGGCATAAGCTGAGACCCTAGTACTAGAATGGGGGTTGAGGGTGCGGTTTGAAGGGCAGCTTCTAATTCAGACCTGGATATGGTTTCTCCATCTATCTTAGCTTTGCAGTTTCCAAGTGAAAAGGGACCTAGTTGCACAACACAGTCTAGACTTGAGGCTTCATTGTCAGCCCTGCTCTGCGCTGAGCCTACAAACCAAGGCTTCACTAAATCCTACCTGATCCCTGTGCTTCTTATGATTCCTTGTCTGCTAAGACCAACCCCCTCTAGCTCCTCTCGTCTCTACAGCGTGTGAGTGTGTGTGTGTGTGTGTGTGTGTGTGTGTGTGTGTGTGTATGATGGGGAGATCTGTGATCAGATTTTAATTCCAAGAAAATGATAAGAGCAGCAGCATGATTTAAAATAGACATAGAGGGGCTGGGAAGGTGGCTCAGTGGGAGAGTGCTCGACTTGCATGCATGAGGCCCTGGGTTCCATTCCTCAGCACTACATAAGCAGAAAAAGCCAGAAGTGGCGCTAGCCTTGAGCTGAAGAGCTGAGGGCCCAGAGTTCAGGCCTTACAACCAGGCCAAAAAAAAAAGACCTAGAGAAAAACTGGCAGTAGGGAAACTGGTCACAAAGCTCCTACTGAAATGACACAGAGCACAAATGACAAGAAATGATTTAAGTGGTGGTATAGAGGAAGGAGAGGAGCAGAGAGGACCTCCAAAACTAAGTAACTGATCAAACAGAGGTAGAGGAAGAAGATAACATCACAGGGCAGGTGTGTGGCCTATGAGAGGCAGGTGAGGTGCCGTGGGGGAAGCCACTAATTGAGACAGGATCCAAGAGGCGCAGCAGGCTTCCCTGGCAAGGAGGGGTCACAGCTGGGCACCAGTGGCTCACGCCTGGAATCCTAGCTATTCAGGAGACAGATCTGAGGATTGTGGTTCAAAACTAGCCTGAGCAGGAAAGTCCTTGAGACTCTTATCTCCAATTAACCACCAAAAAGACAGAAGTAGAACAGTGGCTCAAATGATACAGCACTGGCCTTGGGCAAAAAAGTTCAGTGAGGGGCTGGGAGGTTGGCTCAGTGGTAGAGTGCTTGCCTTACATGCATGAGGCCCTGGGTTCGATTCCTCAGCACCACAAAAGCAGAAAAAGCCAGAAGTGGTGCTGTAGCTCAAGTGGTAGAGCACTAGCCTTCAGCTGAAGAGCTGAGGGACAGCGTCCAGGCCCAGAGTTCAAGCCCTATGACCAGAAAAAAAAAAAAAAAAAAGCAGCTCAGGGGCCGTGGTAAGGCCCTGAGCTCAAGCCCCAGGACCTGTATCAAAAAGTGAATGAATAAAAATAAATAAATAAAAAAGGAGGAGGTATCACCTATGTAAATTTCATGAGTTTCCCGTAGAGGGCTAGAAAAAAAATCTGGAAGCCAGAGAGATTCTTGTCGGGGAGCCACATGCCCACAGATGGAAAGGTAACACACGAGGAGGTAGCTTCTTCAGGGAGGGTCCTAGAAAGTCCAGGGGAGTCATCTTAGCCTCCAAGTTCCCCTCACTCCACACCTGAAAGTCTAAGCATTACCCAGCTTTTTTTTTTCTGTTCCTTTTCTACTCTATATCCTCTTCTAGGTTAGTAATTTTTTCCAGACAACTAGTTACCTCTTTCCATTCATTCTCATTACGCTCCATCCAGGTTATCTTCTTAGGGAAGGCCTCGAGGCAGAAACTTTTTTTTTTATCAGTCCTGGAGCTTGAACTCTAGGCCTGGGTGCTATCCCTCAATTCTTCAGTTCAAGGCATTCTACCACTGAGCCAGAGCACCACTTCCAGTGTTCCAGTGGTTTACTGGAGATAAGAGTCCCACAGACTTGGGCTGGGAAGGTGGCTCAGTGGTAGAGCGCTTGCCTTGCATGCCTGAGGCCCTGGGTTCAATTCCTCAGCATCACATAAACAAAAAGAAAAAAGCCGGAAGTGGCGCTGTGGCTCAAGTGGTAGAGCGCTAGCCTTGAGCTGAAGAGCTGAGGGACAGTGCCCAGGCCCAGAGTTCAGACCCCACGACCGGACCCAAAAAAAAAAAAAAAGAGTCTCATGGACTTTTCTGCCAGGGCTGGCTTTGAACCATGATCCTCAGATCTCAGCCTCCTGAGTAGCTAGGATTACAGGTGTGAACCACTGACTCCTGGCTCAATCCAGGCAGAAACTTTTTGTTCAAGAATGTCCCCCTCCTCTCCTATATGCCCCACCATCTTGTCCTATAGATCCTTTCCCCCTGTCATTTTGTTTTCTACTACTCCCCAGGGAAGGGGTAGAGTGGGCTTTCATTTCCCAAGACCCTCATCAGCCTCTGTTTCATCTCCCTCATCTGAGCCCCAACAAGCAGTTTGTTCCTACAAATTTTGAAACCCAGCAGAGAATGTAGACTCTGCTCCAGCAGACCTGGAACCAGTCACTCTAATGCCACCACATGCTTCCCAGGCCTGTGACTGGCTCTTGCTGGCCCATTTTCTGGGGATGCCTTTCCCCCTTCTTGTCCTTGGAATAACAGCTCCACTTCTAGCCTTTTTGTTGTTGTTGGTGGTGGTGATGGTCATTGTGGGGCTTGAATTTGGGCCTGGGTGCTATCTCTGAGCTCTTTTGCTCAAAGCTATAGTTCTACCACTTTGAGCCACAGTGCCACTTCCAGTTTTCTGGTGGTTAACTGGGGATAAAAGTCTCACAAACTTTCCTACTCAGGCTTGCTTTGAACCACGATCCTCAAATCTCAGCTTCCCAAGTAGCTAGGATTATAAGCATTGAGCCACCAGAACCCAGACTTGCTTTTTGCTAGTTAATTGGAGACAAGAGTCTCTTGGATTTGTCTGCCTGGGTTGGTTTAGAACCTTGATCCTCAGCTCTCAGCCTTCTGAGTAGCTAGGATTACAGGTGTGAGCCACTAGCACTTGGATGAAGCTTATAAATATGGTGTTAATAAAGTATGAAAATAGCCTTGTTTAGTTATTAATGTCTTAACATTATTCAAGAAGTGGCAAATTCTCTTCCTTCCCTTCCCTCTTTCTCTATTCCTTCTGCCTGTAGGGTGAGTCCCACACCTCCATTTACCTGGAATTTTCTAGAAGGAAATCCACAGTCTTACATCCTAAAGCCATACCTACCAACTCGGAATCACCATCGCAAGGCCTCTGACCATTGCTGTTAGCCCCACATGAAGAATCCTGACTGACTTGAGGCCCCATGACAATTTGAATTTTTGCATCACTACTGGGGAAAGCAGGGGCCTGCAGAAAGAGCTGAGCACAGGCTGGCTCTCAGGAGCTAGACAGGCCATTCTGACCCTCAGCTCTCTCCAGGGAACACAAGGATCTGCCCTGCTCAACCCAAAGAGTTGGTTTAAAACAGAGCCAAAGACCACAGTGGCTATAATCCTAACATGGCCAATGACAATATTTCTAAGTGGGAATTGGATACAAATTTTCTAGAGCCAAAAATTATGTAATCTTTCCTTGATTTTCCTGAACAAACCAGATCTTCACATTAAAGTTCAATGTGTCCAACTCTAAAACTATCATTCAGGGGATCTGGGAAGGTAGGTTCCCACCACCCTGGTCTCCCTCATCCCTCAGTGTTTGCAGGACTCCCAATCCCATTAGCTTCCCATAGGAAGAGGACAGTTTGCTTTACCTGGTTGAGCAAGTATTTAACTTGTAATGTATAAAGGAAGGATGCCTACAAGAGAACAAGAAGTGGGTGTTAGGACAGTCACCTGGACATACCTGGTCAATGAGCTAGGAGCCACAGGCTGGCTTATGCCATAGTCAAGGCTGATCCCCTTTGCTCTTCCAAAAAGCCATGCATTTCTTTTATGGCTACAAATGGTTCAAGCAATACCCCCACAACACACCCTATTGGGCCAATGGAGATGTAGTTCTTTTGGGTGGGCAGCAAGAATTTTTCTGAGTATGTTAGGAGATAGCTCACAGGGTATATCAACCTATTTGGTGGGACAATGAAAGAATATTGCATTTAAACGGGTTTTATGCAACAGGGCTGGGGAGTAAGGGAGCTCAGTAGTAGGGCTTTTGTCTAGCATGTGAGGCCCTGGATTCCACCCCAACCCTGCAAAAGTTACTCGGTGAATTAAATACAAATATTGTTTTATAACGTAAAGAGCACAGTGCCAATTACTAGGGCAAATGGCTACTGTTACAGGTTGAAGGATGTCTCCCAAAATTACACATGGAAGCCCTAATACTCACTCAGGCATGTGACTGGGGTTGCAGGCCTTTACAGAGGTGATTAAATTAAAATCAAGGTGTCAGGATGGGACCTTTATTTAATAGAATCTGTGTCCTTGTAAGAAGAGCTACCTGGGGCTTTGGGCACAAGGGCATGGCTATGGGACTTGGGAGCAAACAAAAGGACAACTGTAAGTGAAGGACAGAGGCTACAGAGGAAACTAGCTGTGTCCACACCTTGATCTCGGACTTCTAGTCACCAATGTAATAAGAAATCACTTCCTATTGTTTAAGCTCCCAGCCTATGGTATTATGGCAGCCCCCCACGAACTAACTCAGCTTTTTCTCAATTGAATAAACCTAGTTTTTGACTGTCCTTTGAGCACACACATCTGGATGTCAAACATTAACACATTCAGTGTGCCCACACTCAGCGGGCACACAAAGTCTAAAGGGCAAAATGAGTCCCTCAGAGGCTCTGAGATGTGTAAGCTTTACCCCTTAAAAAAAAAAAATCTAAGGGTTGGGAAGGTGGCTCAGTGCTAGAGTGCTTGCCTTGCATGCACGAGGCCCTGGGTTCGATTCCTCAGCAGCACATAAGCAGAAAAAGCCAGAAGTGGCACAGTGGCTTAAGTGGTAGAGTGCTAGCCTTGAGCTGAAGAGCTGAGGGACAGCACCCATGCCCCACAACCAACAAAAACAAAAGTCCAGATTCTTCTCCTTGAATGAACAGAGGACCCTCCAGCTACAAGAATTCAAGATAGTGGCCTCCTGGAATTATATCTTCCCACCCGCTTGTTTCTTTGAGAGATAATGCTGGCTCTGTACTTCAATTGGGCATGATTAAAACCACTCTTTCATGAAGAGCAAGATTTTAATTATGTGGGCATAATTATGCCAAAATTAAAATTATGCTTACATGAGAGTCACTGACTAATCTGATATACCTGGGGCCTGATGATGGCACGGGTACTTTCTTACCCATGGGCCCCCAAGAATGGAACCCTGAGCCCTTGAGAACTCACAGGAAGTGCTGGAATGAAGATCATGACATAGGTCTGCGTGAGCCTAGACAACAAAAAGTAAGAGTGAAAAACAATGATGGAGGTTACGCGCCATGGAAAGAAAGGCAGAACAAAATGAACTGCTGGGGGAAGAGGGAAAGCTTACAGAGTTTGCCAAGTTGCCTTTCTTGCTTCTTCCATGACTTTGGGTTTAGGACAGGGATTTTAGCCTCACACTATGGCTGAGTGGTTCTCTGGTGTGAGAAGCTATCCTGTGTAAGACAGGCTGTTTGGCAGCCTTCCTGGTTTCCATCCCGGCAACCATCAGCTGAGATACCCAAAACTCTCTTCAGATATTGCTGATGGCCCTGGTCTCAGAGCCCTGGGTTTGAGGCAAGGACTAAATTTTAAAGGTCTTAATGGCCACTCATTGGAATCACCCAGGAAGCTTTGAATGGAACTGGTCCCCAGGCTTTGCCCTGGATCAATTTGAAGAGGCCCTGCGGAGTAGGGACCAAAAACATGAATCAGGATTTATAGCATCCTGGTAGTATGTGTGTGCACGCGTGCATGCATGCGCGCACGCACACGCACACACTTAAGCCTCAAGACATGAGCACTGTCTCTGAGCTTTGTTTACTCAAGGCTAGTGTTCAACCACTTGAGCCACAGCTCCACTTCTGGCTTTGCTTCTTTCTTTCTTTCTTTCTTTCTTTCTTTCTTTCTTTCTTTCTTTCTTTCTTTCTTTCTTTCTTTCTTTCCTTCTTTCTTTCCTTCTCTCTCTCTCTCTTTCTTTCTTCTTTTCTTTCTTTTGGGTAGGGGAAAGGGAGAGTATACTTTATGGAGATAAAAGTCTCATGGACTGTCTGGTTTAGCTTCAAATCACAATCCTCAGATTTCAGCCTCCTAAGTAGCTAAGATTACAGGCATAAGCCACCAGTGCCAGCCTTCCTGATAATTTTAAAATCAGGAATGAGTGTTGGAATCATTAAGCTATGAACAAACCATAAACTTTGGTTCCATGTGGAGATGCTTGCAAAACTAATTCCACTCAAAACTGAAGTCATCCTGGAGAGGAGAATCTAGATCTTAGGAGAGCTTAGGTGTGGAAGATACTAAGGCCTGTGAGGGATCAGCCAAAGACAGCCTGAATCCCATCTTGGTGAGCAGCCTTTGTCCCTGGCCTTTGTTAACTCCTAGAGGCTGAACCTAGCCAGTCTTTGTCCCAACTTACTTGGACACAGACGGGTCCTGCCTGAAGAGCAGCAGGATGTGCTGGGTGTTGACGAAGAGCGCCCAGCAGGGAAAGCAGCAGAGGAGAAGGATGAGCATGCCCTTCTGCAGGATGACCCCCACGTGCTTCAAGTTCTGGCTGCCATATGTCTAGAGTGTACAACAGACAAATTCATTAGCACAGAAAAGGCACACCCTGCTGTTGCCTAAGAGCCTTCATGTCCCCCAAAGCATGCTTCACAAAGAAACAAGCGCATGGGCTGGGAAGGTGGTTCAGTGCTAGAGTGCTTGCCTTGCATGCACGAGGCCCTGGCTTCGATTCCTCAGCACCACATAAACAGAAAAAGCCAGAAGTGGCGCTGTGGCTCAAGTGGTAGCGCGCTAACCTTGAGCTGAAGAGCTGAGGGGCAGTGTCCAGGCCCAGAGTCAGGCGCCACAACCAGCACAAAAAAAGGGAACAGGTGCACTTAGAGATTTTGCCATCTTCTTAGGGAAGAGGTACCATGGCAAGAAAGGCCATAGAGTGAATGGACCCGCAGCTCGCTGCAACCACTCAGTATCACTAGAGAAGAAAGTACTGGATAGTACTGTTAGCCTAGGAGAGATCCAAAGTCAAAATTTTAAATATGGCTTGGCTGACTCTTTGCAGCATTTTTGGTTTAAAGTCAAGGCCTTGTGATTATCAGACAAAGATTCTACCCCTGAACCATGTCCCCCACTCAACCAGTGCTTTTTGAATTAGGGGGTTTTGTTGTCGGTTGCTGTTTTTTTATTCTAGAGATATTTTATTTAGAAAAAAATGTCACTGGCTTTAAGATTTTTCTTTTTAAATGGCACACTAATTAGACATAAAATAGTCCAGGAGGAGCTGGGAAGGTTTCTCAGTGGTAGAGTGCTTGCCTCACATGCATGAGGCCCTGGGTTCGATTCCTTAGCACCACAAAAACAGAAAAAGCTGGAAGTGGTCCTGTGGCTCAAGTGGTAGAGCATTAACCCTGAGCTGAAGAGCTCAGGGACAGCACCCAGGCCCAGAGTTCAAGACCCACAACTGACCAAAAAAAAAAAAAAAACAGTCCAAGATAATAAAATATTTACCCATAGAATGCAAAGTAAGTCTATGATGACTGAAAAATGTTATCCATCCACTGACTCATTTACCATTCCCACTGCTCCTCTCCTGTTTCCTTTTTCCTTGCCTTTTGAAAAGGCTGGTGTTCTACCACTTGAGCCACAGCTCCATTTCCAGCTTTTTGGTGGCTCATTGGAGATATAATTATCTCATGGACTTTTCCTGTCTGGGCTAGCTTTAAAAAGAGATCCTCAGATCTCAGCCTCTTGAGTAGCTAGTGAGCTTGGAGCAGAAAAGGCTAAAGGGCAGTGCCAAGGCCCTGAGTTCAAGCATTAGTACTGGCACACACATACACACACACACGTGTGTGAGTGTATGTGTGTGTGTGCGCACGCACGCATGATAGATAGATAGACAGCAGACAGACAGATAGATAGATAGATATAGCTATCTACCTTACAAAGACAGCAAATGAGGAAAACAGGTGTAAGTGGCTGATACAGTGTTATAAAGACTTCCTGCTTAGGTTCTTTCATCTGTTTATATAAGTAATTCTCTCTCTCTCTCTTTCTCTCTCTCTCTCTCTTTCTGGCTAGTGGAATTCTTCCATCTATATTCAAGAAATATTCTGGGGTCACTGTGAGAATGCAACCACTTCTACTTACCTGAGAGATGAGAGTGTCACAAGCAGAAGATAAGCCATGTCCCACTGAAATGCCAGTAACATTGATGATCTGAAAATAATCCAAGGATAAGGCCAGCAGAGTTAAAGAGGGAAGGGAAATCCAGCTCTCTGTCCCTGCTGGCCAAAGCCAGCCAAGCTCCTCCTCCAACATTCACAAGCCCATTTCATCATCTTTCTGAAGCCTGGGGCCCCTGCTCAAATCAACTGAGCCAACCCCAAGCACATTCACAAGCTCAGAGAGGGACACAAAATCTAGCCTGTAGCTTGAAACACAGACTTTTTGTTAAGTCCTTGACATTTGTTCTCCTGTCATAGACACTTCCAAAGGGAAAGATGTCTGGCACAGCAGCAGTTTGGGGTAAGTTCATGTGCTCAAGGGTAACTGCCATTTTGTCGACTCTAATAGAAAATCCATATTCCAAGCTGGATTGTGAAACTCTAGAGCTGACTTGACATTCAAAACGTTTCATGCCAAAAAAAGCATTAAAAAAAAAAAAACTTCCCTGAGCATTTTGGATAAGGGAGATCCCACTTATCTGGTCGGGGTTAAAAACCTGAATGGAGTTGGACCCCAGTGACTCTACAATCCTAGCTACTCAAAAAGCTGAGACATTAGTGTCAAGGTTTGGAGCCAACCAACCTCGACAACAGATCTTTAAGACTCTTACCTCCAATTAACCAGCAAAAAGGTAAAACTGGAGGCATGGCTCAAGTAGTAGAGCAGAAGGGAGACTAAGGGGATGAAAGCCACTGATTATAGCTATTGTTCTAGATACCAAACCAAGCTAGCCAAACCAAACAAGTTAGCAGGACTGTGGGACTTACATGGCTGGTTTGACAACCTCTGATACACATTAAGCCCCTGGATGGACAAAGACCCCTGGAGTGTCTCTCAATTTCGGGTTTGGAAACTAGTTTGGACTGAGGGACAGAGTGGATGGGTCAGGGGCATCTGTGCCTTCAGATGAAGTCAGACTCTAATGTCCTTTTACAACTCTCCTCTCCCACACATAGGGCCAACAATCGGGACCAGAGCTTCACAGATGATAAATCAGGTGATGTGGTAGAGAGAATATAGTGCTCTCTGAAGATGTCTCCATTTTAACCCTAGTAAGAAGAGTTATTCATTAAGGCTGCAATTGTGCTTAACACTTTGACTTTAACCCTGTGAAACCTGTTTCAATTTTCTGACCTCCAAAGAATACACTAGTATAGTTTAAGCCATTGAACTCAGGCTATTTGTCACAGCAGTATGAGGAACCATATACACACAGCTTTCATAGACCCCTGTGGAAAGCCCCATACGTACTGCAATTGCCAGAGTGACTGCATCCAGCTCTAGCTTGCCCAGATGCCCGCAGAACACTGAGCTTATGAAACTGATCAGGAACATCATCAGCTGGGCCAAGAACTTAGAAGAGAAAGAAGAGGAGGCGAGATGAAAATCAATGAGCACACTCTCGAAGGCAACAGTACCCAACCCCTCTACCCCTATCCGGCCACCCCTACCACCATCTCCAATGGAAGGCAAAGAAACCTAGCTTCAAGGGAGCTGTTGTCAGATTTGCTATATCCTGGGAACTTACTGAAATTGTAAAATAGTATTCCCAGAATACTATTTTAGTATTCTGGGAATACTATTTTATCTGGGAATTGAATTCAGAGCCTTGTACATGCTAGACAAATATTCTACCACTGAACGACATCATCAGTCTTTTAAAAAATTTCTTTAAGTCAGGAACTGGTGCCTCATGCCTGTAATCTTAGCTATTCGGAAGGTTGAGATCTGGAAGCTGCCTTGGATAGAAAAGTCTGTGAGACTCATATCTCCAAGTAACTAACAAAAAGCCAGAAGTGGAAATGTGACTCAAGAGGTAGAGCACCAACTTTGGTGTAAAAGCCAGATAAGACTCGAGAGCCTAAGTTCAAGCTCCTGTATTGGCATAATAATATAAAAATGAAAAAATTAAAAATGTATTTTGTGAGTCAGTCTTGGCAATTCACACCTATAAACCCCATCACTACAGAATCAGGGAGAAGAGAATGGTGAGTTTAAGACCATCCTGGGCAAGTTTCAGGCCAGCGTGAGCCATCTAGTAAGATCCTGTCTCAAACCAAAGGGGAAAAAAGTTCTTTTAATTTGGACACGAAGTCTAAGTTGCACAGGCTAGCTTCCACTTTCAATTTTCCTGTCTCAGCCTCCCAAGTGCTAGAATTACAAGGCAAGTGCCACCAATCTCAGCTGAAAAAAAAATCTGTATTTTTTCAACACTTTATAGTTGGCACATAAAATTGAACTTATTTGGGGAGTTGGTGTGACATTTCAATACAATATAACCTGCGCAGTGACAAGCTCCAGGGTGTTTAACACATTTATCACCTTCTTTATGATATATGGGGAACATTAAAAGTCTTACTAGTTGCCAAGCCCTGGTGGCTTATACTTGTTATCCCAGTTACTCAAGAGTTGGACACCCAAAGGACCTGGGTTGCAAGCCAACCTCAGCAAAAATAGTCTGAGAGACTCCATCTCCAACTAACTAGTGAAAAGCCAGGCTGAGGGTTGACTTAAGTGGTAGAGTACCAGCCATGAGCAAGAAAGTTGAATGAGCATGAGACTCTGAGTTCAAGCCCTGGTACACACACACACATACATACACACACACATATACCAAGCTATTTTGAAATGTGGGATCATCTAGTTATCTTATTATGATATGGAATATTAGGAATTATTCCTCCTACCCAATTGCATTCCTTATTTTTCTACTTAGAAATATTTTTTTCTTTCTGCCAGAACCATTTTTATTTTTAATACTTTTTTAATGTAAAAATACTGTATAGAGGGGTTACAGTTACATGAGTAAGGTAAAGAGTACATTTCCTATTGAGCATTGTTGCCTCCTCTTTTGTTTTTCCCCACCATCCTTTCCTTCCCATCTCCCCAACTACCCCTCTCTCCCCTTTTTTTTTTTGGTTGGTCATGGGGCTTGAACTCTGGGCTTGGGCGCTGTCCCTGGGCTCTTCAGCTCAAGGCGAGCACTCTACCACTTGAGCCACAGTGCCACTTCCAGTTTTCTGGTGGTTTATTGGAGATAAGAAGCTCACAGACTTAGCCGGGCGCTGGTGGCTCACGCCTGTAATCCTACCTACTCAGGAGGCTGAGATCTGAGGATCGCAGTTCAAAGCCAGCGCGGGCAGGAGAGACCGTGAGACTCCTATCTCCAATAAACCACCAGAAAACCGGAAGTGGCGCTGTAGCTCAAGTGGTAGAGCACTCGCCTTGAGCTGAAGAGCTGAGGGACAGCGCCCAGGTCCAGAGTTCAAAGCTGAAGAGCTGAGGGACAGCGCCCAGGTCCAGAGTTCAAGCCCCACGACCGACAAAAAAAAAAAAAAAAAGAAGCTCACAGACTTTGCTGCCCAGGCTGGCTTTGAACTGAGATCCTCAGATCTCAGCCTCCTGAGTAGCTAGGATTACAGGCGTGAGCCACCTGTGCCCGGCTCCCCTGCCCCCTTTTTTTGTCAGTCATGGGGCTTGAACTCTGGGCTTCGGCTGTCCCTGAGATCTTCAGCTCAAGGCAAGTGCTCTACCACTTGAGCCACAGCACCACTTCCAGTTTTCTAGTTTTACTGGAGATAAGAGTCTCATAGAATTTCCTGCCCAGGCTGGCTTTGAACCATGATCCTCAGATTTCAGCCTCCTGAGGAGCTAGGATTACAGGCCTGGTGCTCAGCCCAATTGCATTCCTCAACCTACTAACTAACCGCTCAGTTGGTCCAAAAACCACTTGTTTTTTCCACTCCAGTGTCTCAGGCTATAGAACACATTAAATTTCTTCTGAAAGGTTTGGCGCTTGCATCTAAGTTAAGCCCTCTGTTCTCCCAGATCCTAGTGAACAAATCCACAGAGAACAGAGCCTTCTCCAGGTGCCAGTGAAAAAGGCAGAAGTGGAGCTATGGATCAAGTAGTTGAACTCTATCCTTAAGCAAAAAAGCTCAGACTCTAAATTCAAACCCCAGGACCAGTGCAAAAAACAAAACAAAAACAAAACAAAAAGCCTTCAATAATAAGAGCTTGTGTCAGCAAGCAGGGCATCTCACAGTGAAGCAAAGGCTGAGGTAGAAATAAGTGCTCCAAGTGAATTCCAGTAGAGTCCTGGATGCCCAGGTAAAATGCTACCAGTCTGCTGAGAATCTCTATGATTATTATTTCTTTTTTTCATGGTACCAGAATTTGAACTCAAGACCTTATGCTGGCTAGGCTGGTACTCTACCATATAAGCCATACCCTGCCCTTTATGTACCCGTTTGCATTTTGGGTTTTTTGTTCATTTGTTTTTTTGTCAGTCATGGGGCTTAAACTCAAGGCCTGGATGCTGTCCCTGAGCTCTTTTGCTCAAGGCCAGTGCTCTACCACTTTGAGCTACAGCGTCATTTCCAGTTTTTGAGTGGTTAATTGGAGATAAGAGGCTCACTGGAACTTTTCTGCCTCAGCTGGCTTCAAATCATGATCCTCAGATCTCAGCCTCCTGAGTAGATAGGATTACAGGCGTGAGCCACTGGTGCCCTGCTACCATTTATTTTTTTTAAATAAGGACTTGCTGTTTGCCTAGGCCAGCTTGGACCATGATCCTCCTATTCACATTCCCCATATAGCCAGGATGACAGGCATTGCATTGGTTGAGATGGAGGAGAGCCTCACAAACTTTTTGCTCTTCTCCCCATCTCAGCCTCCCAAGTAAACAGGATTATAGGTGTGAGCCACAACACTTGGCTCTAATTCTTTAATTCTACAAAAGCTCCGGTATAAGGGCACATTCATCTGCTGGAATACTGAACCATACTTCCCCACAAGTCCACTGGCCAGTAGACACTAGCTTATTTCTTCAGGTTAATTTTAAACCCTCTCCTGCCCCTGCCTGCCTGACCCAGGAGCCCAATGTCTCAATCTCAGGAAAGTCACGTGGCCCACGAGGAGGCTCATCTGAAGCCCCTCCCAATAGGAGGGAGCAGGGATGCCTGAGGACTTGCTGCACCTGCCCCACGGGGCCCTCACAAAGGCCCAGGCCTCCAGATAGATGTCACATTTGCTGTTGGTCCAGCCACAGTGCCACCTCTCACAGCCCTTCAAAATGGGCTTCTTTGTGCTGACTCAAGGGCCCTTCCTTCTTGGATTCCAGTGATGAGTTTCCATTGCTGGCTTCCACCTGTCCCATCATAACTTGTCTGCTGGGGCTGCAACCACCCCAAAATTGCTGTCACCAGGTTCCTGAACTTTGACAATGCAAGATGAATGCTATGTCCTTCCCAGGGCCTACAACTGGAGAAAGGCAGTTCTCAACCCCAGTGACGGATGGAGAACTTGAACATGGGAACGGCCTGTTCCTATGTGAGTATATGTGAGTGTGTATGACTGTATGTGTGTGTGTGTAAATGTAGGTGTCAGTGTGGGTGAGTGTGAATGTGTGCACACTTGCACACTTGTCTGTAGGAATCATATCTTTCTTCAAGCCCCAACCCAGGTACGTTCCTCTATTACAGAAACTGAGTGTGAATTTCACTTCAAACACAGCTTCCTGCTTCTAAACAGAGAACTTTTTTTTTTTGTATCACATAAATAAGGTTCAATAAGAAAAGAGGGGATTAGCCATTAGCCAGGCATGGTGGCACATGCTTGTAATCTCAGCTACTTGGAAATTTCCCTCCTCTCTAGTAGGAGGATCTCAAGTTTCAAGCCAGCCTGAGGAAAATTAACAAGAGCTTGTCTCAAAAATAAAAGGGCTGAGGCTTGGCTCAACTGGTAGAGAACAAACACAAGGCCCCAGGGTTCAATCTCCAGTACCACAAAAAAAAAAAAAAAAAACAAGAAGAGATAAGCCAGACAAAGCTGAGAGATTCTTATCTCCAATTAACCAGAGGTATGGTTCAAGTGGTAGAGTGCCAGCCTTGAATGAAAAAGTCAAGTAAGAGCCTAAGGTCCTGAGATCAGATCCTAGTATCAGCCCATAAATAAATTAGTAAGAGAAGAATGAAAATGGAGGGGTTGTGGTCTGGGAGTGTAGTTCAGAGGTAAAATGCCCTGGGTTCCATCCTCAGCATGAGAGGAAACATGACATGAAAGGCCTGATTCAGTAGAATGTGAAGCTCGAGCCCATGGAGTCCCCTAGATTCATTCTAGGACCCCCCAGCTGTGACTGAGGTGTTTACTTCCCTTACAGACATTTGCTGTGGGTTCATCCAGGGACACTGGATATCTATTTATTTACTCATTCACTCATTCATTCATCTATGTCTGGTACTGGGGCTTGAACTCAGAGCTTTCAATTTTCATTTGGCTTTTTTCATTCAAGGCTGGTATTCTATCTCTTGAGCCACAACTTCACTTCCAGCTTCTTGCTGGTTATTTGAAGATGAGAGTCTCCGGGACTTGTGTGCCCAAGCTGGCTTCGAACCTCAATCCTCAGAACTGTCTGCCTGGGCTGGCTTAGAACTGTGATCCTCAGATCTCTTTCTCTCTCTCTCTCTCCTTCTCTCTCTCTCTCTCTCTATCTTTCTCTCCCTCCCTCCCTCCCTCTCCCCTGAGTCACTAACATTATACGTGTGAGCCGCCACCTGTACCATTCTTCATGCTTACCCCATGATCACCCAGTAAAGGTACAAGCCCCTAAAATCCAGACTTAGAGAATCTGTAGAGCCTTTGGAACTGTGCCAACAGAAGGCATGCTGTTTGGCTTGGACAAAGCCAAATGACTGATAGAAACTGCCAGGGTAAGGGCTTGTGGTAGAACTCAGAGAGAGGGAGAGAATATGCACTTAGTATGTTTAAGGTTCTGTGCTAAATCTGCTCAATCCTCAGCTGTATGTGCACCTATGCACCTATGTACACTCACATGTGCACACATACATACACATACACAAGTGAACTGACTATGCAGCTGTCATCTTTTCATCTAGGATTTCTGCTCATTTTTTGGCCAGGCAGCAATACATAAAGCTGGTAGTGAGGAGAAGGTCCACAACCCAGAAGCTTGAGGAGGGAACTCTCCAGGACTTGCTGCCTGCCCAATGGCCAATTAGAGCTCTAGGAGGAAGGGGACAGTCACTCACCCACCGAATCTACTCATAGCAGCAAAAGATCATCATTGGAAGGAACAAAATGGTGCTTAGGAACAGCCTCCTCCTTGTACACTTGAGGCAGCTCAGTCCAGTCACCTGACCAGGCTCGGACCTTACACTCAAGACGGAGTCTCTGGAGCACAAAGTACATCCCAGCCACAGGGTTAAACACGGCTACTCCACCCCACCCCAGAGAGTCCACAGCACAGAGAAAAAAGGCAAGGAAGATGCAATGAACAACACAGCTCAGTACATTGCTGTAGTGTCTTCGGATAGCCTGGCCTCTCTGCCTTCATTTCACATCTCTTCTTTACCTTGGGTCTGATTCCTGCCCAGCTCCACATAGAGGCCTTCAGGGATGTCTGTCTAAAATACAAGGTTGCCAGGTACTGGTGGCTCATGCCTGTCATCCTAGCTACTTAGGAGGCTGAGATCTGAGGACTGAGATTCAAAGCCAGCCCAGGCAGAAAGTTCTGTTAAGATTCTTATCTAATTAACCAGAAGAAAAGTTGAAAGTGTAGCTGTGGGTCAGGTGGTACAGTGCTATTCTTGAGCAAAAAAGCCAAGTGAGAACTTGAGGCACTGAGTTCAAGCCTCAGTACCAGAAAACACACACACACACACACACACACACACACGTTAAAATACAAGATGGCCCACTTCAAGGCTAAAGGTAGAAAGATAACTAACGGTCTTTATTCTCAGCTTTTATGACATCTTATTATAGACCCTCAAAGAGATCCCCCAAATCCCCATTGTTCTAAATCTGTAGTCACCTTGGATTCTAGGAAAGGCAAAGCCTCCAAGATAAATCACCCCATGATGGGATCATCCCCTAAGTGGATCAATTACCCCATGATGGAAACTGAGGCGGTGGGCCAAGCAGGGCAATCATCTTGTGAGAACTGGCTTGTCTGAGTCATTGCAGGGGCAAGACTAAGATAATCACCAACCAGACCATAGTATAGCCAAGACTGCCTAATTATGCATACCTTCCACTCCTAAGCCCACAGATCAAAGTAGGGCACTAAACAAGTCCCAGATCCGAAGACTCCAAACCAGTTCTCTGGTCTGTGGGAAAAGATGGCAAGTTTATGCACAGGACAACCTTTTTTTTTTTTTCATCTTTCGGTTTTGTCTCTGGCATTGTCTTGCTGACTGCAAACCGCTGTGTTAACCATCATGTCCCACAAACAGCAGGCTCATAGTTAGGACAGGATAGCCTGTCACCTCCCCCCAGGGTGCCTGGCCAAAAGCATATTCACCCCTCAGACACACCTGGCCTCTTCTGCAAGCTACCCTCCTACCTCTGACCTCCAATACCACTACAGCTGGCAGGAGAAGGAATCTGATTACATGAGTTGTGGGTTTTGTTGGTCCCTTCCCCCTCCCCCCCACATACTTTACTTCTTAGAGATAAAGCAGAAAGACATTTAGCCTAATGATTTAAAAAAAAAAATCTGTAACATTGTCCAAAAAGAAATGTACTTGTTACCTGAGTTATGAAAAGGTAACCCCTCTGTACATCACCTTTATAATAACAATTTTTTTAAAAACCAAGTCAGGGGCTGGGAATGTGGCTTAGTGGTAGAGTACATGCCTAGCATGTATGAAGCCCTGGGTTCGATTCCTCAGTACCACATAAACAGAAAAAGCTAGAAGTGATGCTGTGGCTCAGGTGGTAGAGTGCTAGCCTTGAGCTGAAGAGCTGAGGGACAGTGCCCAGGCCCAGAGTTCAAGCCCCAGCACTGGCAGAAAAAAAATAAATAAAAGGTCAGGCACCAGTGGCTCCTGCCAGGAGGTTAAGATCTGAGGATCCAGGTTCAAAACCAGCCTAAGCAGGAAAGTCAATGAGACTCATCTCTCCAATTAATCACCAAAAAACCAGAAGTGGAGGAGGAGCTCAAGTGGAGGGCACCAGCCCCCGGCCCTGAATTCAAGCCTTAGTAATGGTCAAAAAACAATAATTTAAAAAAAAAAGCGATCCCATTGAAAAGAACACCTCAACCCCAAAGAAACCCACATTAAAAAATCTGAATTTTGAACACAATGATTGGCAGGGAGGGAAGCTCAGTGAAGGATGCCCCCCCTGCCCCCCAGCTCCCTTTGCTGAGGCTGATTCTAGATCCCAAACACGTGGTTTCCAAACTCGTCCCCCTACCCCGTGCCTCGGGGGTGGTCATTGCTTATAGCTGTCCAACTTCACGGGCAAAGAAACCAAGTTCTTAGTGTTCAGGAGGTCAGGCAACTTTTGGTTGGTTCGCAGGAATCCACGCACAGAGAGACCCTAGGGAGAGAGAGTCCCCTCCGGCGCGCAGCTCCCCGGCCCCCAGTGCGCACGGCGCCGCTGGCGCGCGCCCAGCGTTCCCAGGGGTACCAGCGGTGCCTGCTGCGCCCGGCGGGGGGCCGTTGGCAGCGGGGTCGCACACGGAGGCGCGGGGACCCCAGCCTGGCTCTCCCCGCGGTGCGGCTCTGTTCCCTCCCCGTCAAAGTCACTGCAGTACGACCATTGGGCTCCCATCCCACGGGGACTGGCCAGCCACCGAGGCCACCTGACTCACCGCGGGCCCCGCCAGGACCAGCAGCGCCCGCAGCTCCTCTCGGACGTTGGACAGCTGCAAGCTGCGCAGCCCGCGGCGCTCGGAAGTCTCCGAGCTTCCGGGCCCGGACGCCGGCTCCACCGTAGACTCCATGCGTTCTGCACGGTGCTGGCGGGAAGCGCGGGTGCGGATGGCCCGGGACGGCTCTGGGCCGGTCCCCGCTGCAGTCCCCGCCCCTGGCCGCCCCCACCCGTCCCCCCACCCCCCCACCCCCCGGCCCGCCCTGCGCCCGCCGGAGCGCGCCGCCGACCTTGGACGAGCTCCGGGCACCCTGCACCCCTGTGGATCCCCGCAGGTTTTGTAAAGGCCGGTGAACTCCTGCACTCGGGAAGAAAAGTTTGAAAAACTGTGCAAATTAGGGAAGAGTGGCCGGGGCAACGATGACTCATGCCTGTAATCCTAGCTACTCAGATCTGATGCAGGGTTAGGGTTCAAAGCCAGCCTGGGCAGGAAAGTCCAAGAAATTATATCTAATTAACCACCAAAAAGCCAGAAGTGGATGTGTGACTTAAGTGGTAGAGTGCTGGCCTTGAGCAAAAAACGTTCAGGGGTAGTGCACAGGCCCAGTATCAGCAGAGATGAAAGAAGAAAAGAAGGACGCAAGGAAGAAAAGAAGGGAGGGAGGAAAGGAGGGAGGGCAAGAAAGAAAAGGAAAAAGAGAGAGAAAGAAAGAGAGAGAGAGGAAGGCAGGAAGGAAGGCAGGAAGGAAGGAAGGGGGAGAGAGGAAGGAAGGGAAGGGAGGGAGGGAGGGAGGGAGGAAGGGAGGGAGGAAGGAAGGAAGGAAGGAAGGAAGGAAGGAAAGAAGGAAGGAAGGAAGGAAAGAAGGCCAATTTTACATCTTTTTAGGATTAAAATAATCAAAAGTGTCTGGGCATGGTGGCACATGCCTGTAATTCTAACACTAGGGAAACTAAGGAAGGGGCTAAGACAGTAGTTTGAACCAGAAATTACAGCCCAGCCGGGGCAACACACTGTATCTGCCTCTTAAAACATAGGTAAAGCTGGGCACCTGTGGCTCACACATGTAACCCTAGCTACTCAGGAGGCTGAAATCTGAGAATTGTGGTTCAAAGCCAGCCCAGTCAAGAGACCATAAAAAACTGGAATCTGAGCTGTGGCTCAAGTAGTAGAGGGCTAGCCTTGAACACAAATGATCAGGGACAGTACCCAGGACTGAGTTCAAGTCCCAGGAATGGCAAAACATAATTAATAAAAATAATAAATATAAAATAAGGAAAAAAAGTAACAAGGATAGAAAATTTGTCTGTGTCTTCTAAATTTGCTAATTCCTGTGGTTTGGATATGGTGGGAGGGTCTCCCAAAAGTCTATGTGTTATCTAAGGAAGGATACAATTGATACTAGTGAACTTTAAAAAATAGTTTAAAAAAAAGAAGAGAAAGAAGGAAAGAAAGATGGTGGCAGAGGAAGAATGCTCATGGACTGGTACTTGCTTCCTCACTGTGAAATCTTTAGGAGTTGAGGCCTAATGCAAGCTAAGTAGGTCACTAGAATACAAGGTCTTGGAAGGGATTAATGCAGTTGTCTCAGGATCCCAGTTAGCTCCTCATAAGAGTGGGTTGTTACAAGCAAGCCTGACTGCTGAGTCCCTCTTCTCTTTATGTCATCTCTCAATCTTACCTGTACCCACCCTCACCATGAGCCACATTGTAATGGAGCCAGAAGGGCCTTACCAGAGCTGAGCAAATGTTATCATCTTGCTCTTGAATCTCCTGAACTGTCATACACCTAAATACATCTCTTTTCTTCATAAGGACACTAGTATCCAGTATTTTTCTTGTAGCAATGGGGGGAAGGGGGGGCGGTGAACTACTGGTCTGGTCTATTCAGGGTTTGTCCTCCCTCTTCTTGAATCAGTTTTGTGCATTCACAACTAGTATTTCTAGACTGGACAGCTTCTTTAACACATGATCACAATCTTACTGGCTCACAACACACATTATCTTATAGATGTCAGAAGTCAGAAATGTGCTTCATGGGGCTTAATCAGGGATGTGAGCAGGACTGACACTGCATTCCTTCTGGAAGCTTCTGCTACTATGCCATCTGCTGTGATGTGGTACAGCTAAGGATTTCCTCACCAGAGCTCATACCAGAGTGTTGGTACTTTCCACCTCCAAAATCATGATCTACAAAAAAAAAACTCCATCTTTTTCTTTTCCTTTCCTTTTCCTTCCCTCCTTTCTTCGCTCTTTTCTTTTTGTTTTTTCTTTCTCTCTCTTTCTTCCTTTCTTTCTGATTTTGATTCTTTGCCCTCATCTTCTAATGACCTTTGAGATCCCACTTTGCACCTATTTCTAGGATAATCTCAAGCTCCTTAACACAATTACATCTACACAGTCCCTGCACCATGTAAAGCAGCATATCAAGAGGTTCCATGGATCAGGATATGGCTATCTTTGACAGCAGGGGCATGTGTGTGTGTGTGTGTGTGTGTGTGTTTGTGTGCATGCACGCAAAGGTAAGCTAGTTCTGGGGCCTAAACTCAGGGTCTGGGCACTATGCTTGTGCTTTTCTACTCAAGGGTAGCATTTTACAACTTGGGTCATAGCTCCACTTTCAGCTTTTTTGATAGTTAATTGGAGATAAGAGTCTCAGGACTTGCCTGTCAGACTGGCTCTGAACCAGGATCCTCAGATCTCAACGTCCTGAGTAGATAGAATTATAGGTATAAGCCACCAGCACCCTACTTAAGGGTGTTTTCTTGACCTTACCGTCACCATATACTCTATGTGTTTCTAGTTTCCTGAACTCAAGTCTGGTTAGCTTTCCATATCATAGAAGTCACAGTCTCATGTGGGCCGTAGTACATACTTTGCATACAATCATGTTGGACATACTCCAGTGCTTCCATGTAACAGACATAGAGTCCAGTGCTCCTCAAATTATCATTCTATTGGCAGGAAGTTTGGTGGAATATAATGGCTAGTTCCTAGTTGGCTTTCCACACCTAATGATTCATTTTCGCTAGTGATTCATTTTAGCCTTGGCAGGGGCCTATAGAGGGGTGGGCAGGCATGGTTCAACTCTTAACTGTGAAACATGAGTAAAGACATTTATGGGGAAATATTTCCTTATTTTATTTATTTTTTGTCGGTCATGGGGCTTGAAGTCTGGGCTTGGGTACTGTCCCTCAGCTCTTCAGCTCAAGGCTAGCGCTCTACCACTTAAGCCACAACACCACTTCTGGCTTTTTAGATGGAGTACTTTGATCTCATGCTGATGTGCTAACATAAAAACAAAAGTGAGAACCCTAGAAGTTACCAGGATCCCTGAAACATATATTTAAAAAAAAAACAAAAAACAATTGGCACTGTGGCTCAAGTGGTAGAGCGCTTGCCTTGAGCTGAAGAGCTGAGGGAAAGCACCCAGGCTCAGAGTCCAAGCCCCATGACCAACAAAAATAAATAAATAAATAAATAAATAGCCGTGCCCCAGTGGCTTACGCCTGTAATCCTAGCTACTAGGAGGCTGTGATTGGAGGATCTCAGTTGGAAGCCAGCTCGGTCAGGAAAGGTTGTGAGACTCTTTTCTCCAATAAGCCACTCAGAAAACTGAAAGTGGTGCTGTGGCTCAAGTGGTAGAGCACTAGCTTTGAGCTGAATAGCTCAGGGACAGTGTCCGGGCCCAGAGTTGATGCCCCATGACCGACAACAAAAAAAGAAATCCTTTAATCAGAATCTCTGTTGTCTCCAGCTCAATAACAACCACCACACAATCCCACTGTCAAAACCCCAGGAAAGGGAAGTAAGTCACAACTGAGATTCAAGCCCAGAACCAGACAGAAACAGAAAACAGAAAGTCCAAAAACCGCAGGCTCAGTGCTAGGGTCATAGCTCAAGCAGTAGTGCCTGCTTAGCAAGCACAAGACTGAGAATTTAGTCCCTAGTACTGCCTAAATAAAAGCATCACAGGACCAGAGATTGCTTTCAGGAAATCATCCCCACAGACCATTTGCAGAAAAATTACAAGGCATACTAAAAGGAAAAGACACAGTTGGAAGTGACCGAATACTCATTAAAACCACAGCCACATAGAGCAGGAATATAGGAATTAGCAAACTGGCAACTTTTTAAAAAAAATGATAGATGTGCAAAAGGCTTTAATTAAAAGAAAGGATAGAACACACATGAACAATGTAAAGAGAAATACAAAAATTCTAAGAAAGTCAAAACATTTTCTTTTTAAACCAACTTTTAACATGCTGATGCCAGTAGCCCATGCCTACTTGGGAGGCTGAGAATAAGAGGAAGAATAACAGAAGGCAAAAAAGGCTGAGGATAGAGTACCAGTGGTAAAGCACCTGCCTGGCAAGAGCAAACCCCTGAGTTCAAACCCAGTACCACCAAAAATGATATGACCATAATAATATAATTATATTACCCATTACTTACTATTCACAAATGTGATACTTCTGTTTTTCTAGAGCTACCATATTCCAGGATGTGCTAAGAGCAGTCAGCGCCTTAATTTCACAATACTCTCTTTATCCTCTTTCTTCAGATAGGGTAATAGAGGTTCAAATGGCCATGTAACCCTCCCAAAGCCAAAGAGTTCATGTGAATGGTGAGAGGGAAAATTACTCCCACAGACTCACAGGGACAGAAATACAGGATCCTGAGTGTCAGATAATTGAGGGACAGAAACACCTGGCCTGCACCATTGCTTACTGCTCAACTAGCAAATGCATTCTGCCTGCTGTCCTCAGGACAGAATATTAAAAATGAATATAAATTTTATGTTGTCAGAGGTGAGGAGTCACATATGAAGAACACAGTTTCTAAAACTCTGGGAGCCCCTTAACCCCAAGAGTCCACAAGATTTCTGCCTTTCTGGTGATTCTAGTTGTTTGGGTCTTCCTCTAAGGAGCCTTAAATTGGTTCATGATTGATTGATCAATCTTTTTTTTGGGGGGGGGTCCGGTCATGGGGCCTGAACTCTGGGCCTGGGCGCTGTCCCTCAGCACTTCAGCTCAAGGCTAGTGCTCTACCACTTGAGCCACAGCGCCAATCCCAGCTTTTTTTTCTTTTTGCTTATGTGGTACTGAGGAATCAAACCCAGGGCCTCAGGCATGCAAGGCAAGAGCTCTACCACTGAGCCACCTTCC